TCTACAAGATCAACAGGAGAGTATTACATCTTCTCTTTCACATTGCGTAACTTATATGACTAATAATAATAATGTGTATGCACAATAGGCTATATTGGTTTATTCCGAGATGATAAGAATATTCTTGGTAGTAGTCCTTGAAAAGGCTGGGACTCAAATTTGGATTCATCAAACAGATTGTAAAAACTCAGGAAGCAAAACTTAAACAAAAAATTACCGATCCGAATAGTCTTGAAGAATACGATTCTGAATAGGATTTTGAGCCATATTATCACCGCACGTTGAAAAATCAGTGGAATAAGATAGAAAATTACTAATCTCTCTATTATTCAGGATAGGATCCTGCTGATCAGAAAATACGAGGCCCTTGGGGATAAAATCTCGAATGTTGCGAAAAGGCGAGGAAAGAAGTGGAAGATTTTCTTGGAAAGGTTTATCATGGTGCTTTTCCATTGTTAGAGGCTGAGCACCGTAAAGTGAATCCGAACTGTCATCGGGCTATAAAAATAAAATAGAATTAAAAAATTTTTAAGCACAAGTTCAGACGACTCAGTCAATATGGCAAGTTAGGTAATGGATAAATTTAGGAAAGCTGCGGCCAGAATGCTGGCAACCAGTTGTGTAGATGCTACATTGATTAGTATTAAGGATCAAGCTTACAAATCAGCATATCAAAAAGTATTCATGCGCAAGGCAATAAATGATGCAGGAATCAAGATGCCATTCAAGAGCCACAGTATATCCTATTGTATATTGATGTATGCTGCTATCTTTTAATACAAATTATTGAATGCGTAGAGACAAAATTATACAAAAAATATTCAAATAAAAACTAATGAGAGTTGAAAGTAAATTATATGTTGTAAAGTAAGAACTAGTCAATCAGTGATTAGCTCCGACAGTCAAAAATCCTTAATGGGGCGTAATGATACTGATGAAAATCCATATTAAGACGTAATCCAATCTCAAATGAACGAATCACTTTTGTCAATAAAGCAAGCATAC